TGAGCAAAAATCTATTTTTTCAGAGACTTCTATACAATCAGACTCTAAAACGAATGGAAACGCCCCCTGCAGGATATTAGAGAGAATGCAAGTTTTAGGCATTTCCGCATTTGCATCTTGGCCCGTCTCTGTTTAATTTCAACATTTTGGTGCCAAATAAAAAGTATTTCTTGTTTACCTTTGACACTGAAGTAAATGTGTTAATTGGAAGAGGCAAGTTATGAAACATCTGTATTTATATGATTACGTTAAGAATTAGAATAGATATGTGCAACTTGAAATGCTTGTAATGTTATAGACTGAATTGATTTGTGAATGCAGTATGCATTTGTGTTTGTGTCATACCTGCAGAAGACTCCCATGGTCTCGATCAGGTAGCACTGCCCCCCGTTGAAGCAGAAGTTGGGCAGCATGTCGCAGGGAGAGCGGCAACTCCCGTTCGTCATCTGGAAACCAACGCGGCATCCACCCATCCCGTCTGACCCGTCCAGAGAAGCTGGAGCACCTCCTGCTGCGGGGACGTTTGGTACCGGAGCTCCTGCACCTGGAACTGAAGCCCCAGGGATGATGGACCCGGACCCTGGTGCTCGAGGCTTGGAGCGAGAAGGAGATCCAGCGGCAAGTCGAAGATCATCGTCGCTTTCGTAGGTGTCGGTGGTGGTGCTGTAGGTGTACTCATCGGCAGTGGGGGACACGCCATCTTCGTACGGTGTGAGGTAGTCGTAGTTCTCCGGCATCGCCCAGGAGGTCGAGTCGCCTCCCTGCAGCTCGTGGGCCAGCGATGAAGGAGAGGGCGGGGCCAAGTCGAGGCCACGCCCACGAGAGGAGGGATCGAAGAAGTCCACGTGGAGGACGTCAGGGTTAGAGGGCACCGAGGGCTGGGCGGCGGTGGTGGTGAAGAGGCGGTCAAGATCAAACACGGCGGTGTCTTTGGCGTTGATCCAAGGTGGGTCGGTGTTTGGCAGACGATCCTCATCCTCCTCTTTTTCCACTTCCTTGCTCTCTTCCAGGACGTCCTTTCCGGGTGGGTTGCTAAGCAGGAGGTCGTCCGTCTCGGCAGAATCGGGGCTGATGCGAGGTGGAGCGGAAACGGCAACTTCGTCCACCGCAGGAATCAGAGTTTCGCCGAACATGCCGCTGCTCTGGTCGTCTTCCTCCTCTCCGGCGCGAGGGGTCCATCCCGCCCTCTGATTGACAGCGTCCAGATTGGCCGAGCTCCCGGTTACAGCGACCACGACCTCATTGACCTTGACAGGCCCCTCCTCCTCGTTAAGCAGGGCGGTGACATTGGCCGCTTTGTCCTGCTCAGTGGCATTGGTCCCGGCAGCATTTCCTACAAACACAAATAAAGTTTCTTAGTACCTAGAAACACAGTTGAAAAAAGACCTCTGGCAAAGAGGTGGAAAGGGTTTCCCTCGGACTTCATTGTTTTTATCGATCAGCTCTGCTAAATTCTCTATTGAGCTCCAGTTACAGGAGGGTATGGATGATTAGTAACACAAGATGAATGCTGCTGGTTTCACATAGAGCACCAACAATGTTAAATACGGAAATACTGTAAAGGAATAAATACAATTGATGACAGAAAATACCCTTTTTGAGTTTATAAATATGCAGGTAAGTAAAATAACTTAACTCTGTTCACATACAATGTTTTCATGAATGCAGCCCCTGTATGATCTCAATGGATGATTAATAGACCTAAAATGAACACCGTTTGACATGTTGGCAAATTATGTATTTCAAATTAACTATTTTCTTGTTTCCGAGTTATATGCAGAAGTAGAGACAATCAGCACTGCAGAGTGATTTATAATGAGTGTCTGTTTTATGGACATTTCGCTCACGACATTGGCGAATAATGATATCCTCGGAAAGTGTGGATCTGACAAAGTGTTTGACAAGTGAAAGTGCTTGGAAAACATGCACACAGCTTTAGAAAAATGTCCCTCTGTGTAGCGAGCAGTAGAAAAAAAAAAGAATGCTGAACCCACACAAACCAACGTGAAATCAGAAGATGCGGCAACCATTACTATGAAAAATGAAAGACTCGAGGGGTTGAAAACAAACTGGGGACAGAGCAGGAAAAACGCCACCATCTTCTTCTGTTAGGTTTGCTGTCAGTTCCAGAAGTACAGGAATTTCTATTGAGTGGTGTAGTGATTACTTTCTTTTAAAGACTGACCCGGAAGGTAGCATCACAAGTGGACCGTCGATAAAAAGTAATTTGTTTGTCGAATATTGCAGGAAATAAGCTCTGTGGCAAACACACGTTTTGTTCGGCAGGATAATCTCCACATATTAAAACGACTTTTTTTATTTTTGAAGTAAAAAGCTAACGTTGCATCACGTAGCAATCGCTAAGCTAAAGGGGGCTAATGTTTTCGGCATGATAACGTTTAGTAGTCTCATCAAGTCGCGTGTTAGCTACCGCTGCTTGTAAGACATATAGAAGCTCTGAACATTCACAAGTAGAGTATTTACTGATGTATCTCATGTTGAAGAACAAAATAGGCCTTATTTCCGGCCTCCAACTAAAAACATGTTTAAAATATTGTTGACTTTAAGACGAGGGAACTTGAGGTGGCAATGTCTGAGTCATTTCCTGGTTTTATGACTCGTCCCTGCATCACTCTATTAATCTCAGCGATACAAATAAATACCTATTCACTGAAATCTAATAGCAATGAATCCCCCCAAGATCAAAAGAGCTGAAAATTATATTTTCCAAGAATATCTGCCAAAAAAAAAGCACTGGGCAGTTGGATGCAACATCTGCTTTGTATCTGAAAAGAAACAAAAACATAGAATCACTCTTTCCAAAGAGATCTTCAAGTCAGTCCACTGCCACACAATAACAGTCTTTCTGCACTATGTGACGGACAAAGTGGGCTCAAGAAGTCTGGCATTGGGTGAAACAATTTAAAACGAGACGTGATTGGCTGCGTTATTATCCCTCGGTCAATTATTTAATCCGAGGGCGGCTCGTTGAGTCATGCAAAAAGCTGCTTCATGGACGCTCCCCCCCTTTGGATTAAAGGAATAATACACTAATGTATCTGAATGGCAGGGATCTGGGATTAGGGATTATGGGGCTGGAGAAGGAGGGATTTGGGAGACTTTCGGGGTGCCCTGCAGGGGGGAGGTGATGATCTCAAAGGAGACGCAGACAAAACAGAGTCTCGACAACTGTAAGAAAACTTTAAATATGATGTATATACTATACACTTGAGATAAAGATATCAGACATATCTTTCATCAAAATGGTTGACTTCACATTGTTTCGGACAACATCTCTTGGGTGGTTGGGGGTTCAATTCTTGCCCCAAGGTGAATTCATGCGTGTACTGGGGGTTGTATAAGCAGCTTTGACAAACAGCCTCCAACCAATGGCATTTGTGAGGATATCTCTGCGAGGATATCTTTGAAGATAATCTGTAATCACGACCCTCTGGCATCTCCAAATCTCTAACGAGGTGCACCCTACATTTATAGAACCAGTCACTTATTAAGAACTCCACCAAAGTGTTATCTCTCAAACACACTATCAGCTAGAAATGATCCATATATTATACCTTCATCACTGATAAAACTGCAGGAGAACAACCAGGAAACCAGAGCAACCTTTACAAAATGATTGTCTTATTGGGTTTCATCATATGTGAAGCCTAAGAAGACAAGAAAAAACCCTTAGCAAATATGGGGGAAATACTTCAGATGGTATTTGAGATAAAAGTGTCTATACAAAAAGTCTATACATTTTCCTCTAAAAGTGTTTTTGTCAAGGCATTGCTTCCTTTTGCAAGAGAAGAGGTATTATGTGTTTCTGAAAAAGAGTTATTGTAAAAACCAAACCCTTATAGTCTAATGTTCACATACAGAAACTGAAGATGTATCACCAGTCCAGTAGAAACACTTTGCAATAATCAAACTACTGAAATAAACTAATGCATATCTGCACTGGAGACATTGGCTCTGCTTCAATGTTCCATTTGAAATAAATAGGCTTTTCACTGTGATAAATCATTGTTTATAATGCAACATTTCTGCTGCTGCGGTTTGCATTTTATTCTCTCCGCCTCTACTGTCAAAGTGGCCTTGAGATTTTTCTACTAGTGGCTGATCTTCGGTCTTGTGAAGAGGATCATATTTTATTGTTGAAAAGCAGGACAGTGCTGATAAAGAGCATACCTGCATTGACATGGACATCTTGAATAAACACTGATCCTTAAAGGTCCCATGTCATGGCCATTTCTACTGATCATATTTCCATTGTTGAGGTCGACTAGAATAGATTTGAATTGTTCAATGTTTCCAAACTCACATTGGTTTCTCACAGCATCTCTGTATAGAATGTGTATTCACTCTCAGTCCTAAACGGCTTGTTGGAGCTCCTGCCACCCCCCCCCTGTGAGCCCAGTGTGCTCTGATTGGTCGGCTCGTTGCTGCTCGCTGCTGCTACGAGGAGCGGACAGGTTTCCGGGTCGGCGATACAGCGGGAACAAGCGAAACTCATCCTGAGCACACACAAACACTCACAGCCGAAGTAAAAACAATAAGTGTGGCTTGATATTGAGAAAGAAAAAGGTTTATAGCGCTGTGAGAATGGGTCTGCGGAGAGCATTTCTCCGCCATCCCAACTCGTCTATTACCAGCGTTCAGGGAGCTCTATGCAAGTCAATGAGGACTCCCTGTTAGTTAGCCAAAGGGTCCTGGTGTGTGAGGAGCTCCGCGGATTCGTCCATTTGGGCCAATCTGGTCATTTGTTGTTGATTTGGGTGTTCACACGTCACAGAACCCAGGAAGCAAACAATGGAAAAAGAAAATCTCCAACGAGGCGTTCTGGGGCAGCACAGACAGGTCTTCTCTGTGTTAGAGTTTTACTCGCTACAGGGTGCACTTTGAGGGTTTGTGACTCTGCAGAGTGTTCACATGCAGAAAAACCTTCATAACACAAGGGGACGGGTGATAACAGGAAAAGCATGACATGGGACCTTTAAGGGTCTAATGAACAACCGCTGTTACCTATTCTCTTGTCCTGTGGCTTTCCCTGGTAAGAAAAAAACGTATGCCCTTTCTGTTGCGAATCCCCCCTCCACTCGCTTCCAGTAAATACCTGATCACACAATGCTCAAATCACCTGGTGTCCAAACCTGCCTTCAAATTAAAAGCATAACCAACTACTTTAAAGAGCTCATATTGCGTTCTTTAATGTTCAAAAAGCTCTTTATTTTTCTCATACTGCCTGTGCTGCAGCACCTCTTTTCACCCTCTGTCTGAAACCAGAGCCCAGTCTGCTCTTATTGGTTAGCTGGACGGCTCTGTTGTGATTGGTCAACCGCTTAGAGATGTCCCGCCCCCTTAGCCTATCACGTACAATGTGTTGAAGCGCTAGCCAATAGAAGCGTGAGTGTTATGCAGTGATGTCACTATGTCTCTTAAGTAAACAAAGGAGTTCAATGGAGGCGTTTCAGGCAGGGGGGAGGGGGGGTGGGAGAGAAACTTCCTCTGGAGGGAACTTTAGGATTTTAGCCTTTGCAGACCATTTACATGCACCTATATAACACACTACAGGAAAGGGAAAACTCATAAAAAGGCAACAGGGCCTCTTTTACTATTAAGAAATATAAATCAATGAATACATTACAAACCAATACATATGAATTCATGCATGTAATGGTTTCTGTCATCATTAGGCGTGAGACTGTCACTTTGGCCACACAGTGTTGACAGGAGGAAGGATTCTGTTTATTTAATGTTTTGTTTTCTGGCCGACAGCAGTGATCTGCGTCTTTGAAGCCGAGGTCGATCTGAGGCTAATCCGCAGAGGATCCACAATGCACTGCTGTTTTACACATCAACCGAGCAGCCCAGGATAATATGCCAAAAACAGCACTCTTACAAAAATAAGCTGTATATATCTGCACAGAAGGGTTTCACACTCCAGTGAATGCCTGTCGCTCACCAGGAAATCAGGATTACAGAGCGTGAATGTCCGCCTCTCTCTTTTAAAAAACAATCATACTCGCCTTCGTTTGCTTTATCTCAACCACACACACCTGACAGCAACACACTCATTAAGTGAGAGTTTGCCCGGTGGGAAAACCCTTCAACACAACTGAAAGCTTGATTAATACAAACTGTGCTGGAAAACAGACAGTAATGGCTGCCACGTAACCCTGAAAGGATGACAGGGGGTGATGAGGAGGGATTGGTAACGAGGGACACGTCATGACAGAGAGAAGAAAGAAGTTAACACTGAAGTGTCAAAGTGAGAGATGAAGAGAGACGGTGACAAGGAGGAAGGGAGAGGCTTTCAGTGTCCATGAACGA